ACTAAATAAAAAGATAGGGAAATAAATAAATGTTTAAATACATGAGGAAAATGTATACAGAAATCAATCTATACAGAAATAACAAAGAGAAGAAAAATAAATATAGGCAAAAATATGTTATTTATTGTTGTTATTTATTTTTCTACAAATATTATAATTTGTTTGTTAAATTAATTTTTATTTATTTTTAATTATTATAAAATATTATTATTTATTTATTTATTTACCGTGTTGTCTTATTTATTGCACGCTATTTATTTATTTATTTGGCAAATGTTTAATAATGTATTTGTTGTTTGATTAATCACTCTAATTTATTTATTTACTAATTAAACAAAGTGAAAACGTTCTGCGTCCGGGGCAGCTGGAGGCCGAGCTGAAGTGCAACATCACGGTTTCCAGCTGGAGAAACAGCTGCGGAGCCAGGTGGGCTGCTGCAGACCGGATCAGTGCTCGGTGAGGGGGGGGAGGTGTGTTATAATTGTCATGCATACAGCTCTGCCAGCCCTTTATTAATAAAGTATCTACAGACCAAAGCCAGTGCAAAATTCATACGTTTAAGACAATTTCTAAAAAGCACCAGTACTTAAGTTATAGGGACTTAGCAGTGGTGCATGAAGTACTAATACCTCACTGTAGAAATATTCTGTTACAAGTAAAAGTACTGCATTGAAAATGTTACTTAAGTAAAAAACTGTGAGTATAATCAGGAAAATGTACTCTGCCATCCCTTTATTGTCAAGGTACCTGCAAACCAAACCCAATGCAAAATTCACAATACTTTTAAAGATATCTCCTCAAAAGTACCACGTAATTTGGTTTTAGGCTCCAGTAGTAAGTTATAGGGAAATTAGCAGCGGTGGACAAAGTATTGTAAAAATACTCCACTGCCAGTAAAAGTACTGCAATGAAAAAGTATAGTAATCTAAAGTACTCAAAGCACCCCGTGACTATTTTGTATTATATCATTAGATTATTCTTCCTCCTACATTAATGTAAAGTAGGACTGTAATCAATGAAATAGTTCTGCCATAAACCTTCAGTCAGAGAGGGATTCATTTAACTAAAGAATCTGTTCATTATTGCAATCGGACTAGAGAGGACGCAGGTTTAAGTCGCCCCCTGCTGGCTGCTAGAGAGGACGCAGGTTTAAGTCGCCCCCTGCTGGCTGCTAGAGAGGATGCGGGTTTAAGTCGCCCCCTGCTGGCTGCTAGAGAGGACGCAGGTTTAAGTCGCCTCCTGTTGGCTGCTAGAGAGGACGCAGGTTTAAGTCGCCCCCTGCTGGCTGCTAGAGAGAACGCAGGTTTAAGTCGCCCCCTGCTGGCTGTTAGAGAGGACGCAGGTTTAAGTCGCCTCCTGTTGGCTGCTAGAGAGGACGCAGGTTTAAGTCGCCCCCTGCTGGCTGCTAGAGAGAACGCAGGTTTAAGTCGCCCCCTGCTGGCTGCTAGAGAGGACGCGGGTTTAAGTCGCCTCCTGTTGGCTGCTAGAGAGGACGCAGGTTTAAGTCGCCCCCTGCTGGCTGCTGGAGAGGACGCAGGTTTAAGGCGCCCCCTGCTGGCCGCTAGAGAGGACGCAGGTTTAAGTCGCCCCCTGCTGGCTGCTAGAGAGGACGCAGGTTTAAGTCGCCCCCTGTTGGCTGCTAGAGAGGACGCAGGTTTAAGTCGGCCCCTGCTGGCCGCTAGAGAGGACGCAGGTTTAAGTCGCCCCCTGTTGGCTGGCAGAGAGGACGCAGGTTTAAGTCGCCCCCTGCTGGCCGCTAGAGAGGACGCAGGTTTAAGTCGCCCCCTGCTGGCTGGCAGAGAGGACGCGGGTTTAAGTCGCCCCCTGCTGGCCGCTAGAGAGGACACAGGTTTAAGTCGCCCCCTGTTGGCTGCTAGAGAGGACGCAGGTTTAAGTCGGCCCCTGTTGGCCGCTAGAGAGGACGCAGGTTTAAGTTGCCCCCTGCTGGCCGCTAGAGAGGACACAGGTTTAAGTCGCCCCCTGTTGGCCGCTAGAGAGGACGCGGGTTTAAGTCGCCCCCTGCTGGCCGCTAGAGAGGACACAGGTTTAAGTCGCCCCCTGTTGGCTGCTAGAGAGGACGCAGGTTTAAGTCGCCCCCTGCTGGCAGTTAGAGAGGACGCAGGTTTAAGTCGGCCCCTGTTGGCCGCTAGAGAGGACGCAGGTTTAAGTCGCCCCCTGCGGGCTGCTAGAGAGGACGCAGGTTTAAGTCGCCCCCTGCTGGCTGCTAGAGAGGACGCAGGTTTAAGTCGCCCCCTGCTGGCTGCTAGAGAGGACGCAGGTTTAAGTCGCCCCCTGCTGGCTGCTGGAGAGGACGCAGGTTTAAGTCGCCCCCTGCTGGCTGCTAGAGAGGACGCAGGTTTAAGTCGCCCCCTGCTGGCCGCTAGAGAGGACGCAGGTTTAAGGCTTCACTTTCAGACCCGGAGGTTCCCGCTTGGTTTTACAGCAAACAGTGGCTGAGTAGCTATTTTGTCAGAAGTGCAATGTTAGAGCAGCTGGTGCATCTGTTTAGAGTGCAGCCAAACAAACTCTGTTTTGATAAAGAAGTCAGCCTTTGATAATAAAAACACAGCCAGTAGTTTCCCACACAAGATCAGAACATGCTCCTCACCATCTGACAGATTTACAACTCATCCATTAACAATACAACTAAATGGCTGCTGTCTTGTTCAACACATCATTATTTCTTTCCAGTTTAAAGGCTGATTTTTGCTCCTGAGTGAAAGTTAATTGTGGTTTTAAACTTTTCTTTACGGGAAGAAGAACAAACGCTTGATGCCAAACAGTGGATCACTTCACAAATCTGAGGCAGAACATTCAGAACTATTCTGTTATTTTTTCCTTTACTTTTGCTCACCTCAGAATGCTGTGGTCTAATACAAACGGTGGTTTGTCCTGAGGTGTTTAACTCATCTAGACATGAATACCAGGAAACTCTTGTCTCATCTTTTGATCTTAAACCCAAATGTCTTCAGAGAACAACAAAAACAAAGGAAGTGGCCTCACCGTTCCACCGTACCTTTGGAGGGGACTGTGTGTGTGTGTGTTTTTATATATATATATATGTGTATATATATATATACAGATAGATCTAAAGATGAAGAGGACAAGGTATAGGAATATAAATCTTCTATACCAACAATGAATGTAAGCATTGGGAAAGAATTAGTTTAGACTACAGAGCCTACAGATCGATCCTGCTGGGTACCTGCCCACGGTGGTAGAAAAGGGAGCAGACAAAATAGCTACAAAATCAACCAGGACCACGATGTCATAAATATACCCTTTGGAACAGGAGAAGCTGAGGCGATAACCAAAAAAGAAATGATGTAGAAATGGCAGGACAGGTGGGATGCGGACCCCTAAACTGACAGATATTAGGCCACGGGCCCCCGTTTGATTAGATGTTGTTCCGGGCTCCCCCGTCTGATAGAAGTTTTGCTTTTAGAATCAGAAACGTAAGTTAACAAGGAATTTTCTTTGGTGACTTATATAAAAGTAAAGTAAAAAATTGACAAGATATAAAAAATATAAAGGAATCATAAAGAAAATGAAAACCATGACTGAAATAGTAATTTTGTTACTTATGGACCCCTGGAACAAACTCAAGGACCCACTTTCCGAACCACTGATATAAAGTAGTCCCAACGAGCATAGTTCATGCTACATACTCCGGTACACTAGGTGGCGGTATGCACCTTTAAATCTGCAATCTGCCGTAAAACGAAAAAGAAGAACCTGCAACAGAAACAGGCGGAGAGTCCGGGTCCAGGCAGAGTCCAGTTCCAGGCGGAGAGTCCGGGTGGAGAGACCGGATCCGGATGGAGAGTCAGGTTCCAGGCGGAGAATCCAGGTCCAGGCAGATTCCAGGTCCAGGCGGAGAGTCCGGATCCAATTGGAGAGTCCGGATCCAATTGGAGAGTCAGGTTCCAGGCGAAGAGTCCGGATCCAGTCGGAGAGTCCAGTTCCAGGCGGAGAGTCCGAATCCAGTCGGAGAGTCAGGTTCCAGGTGGAGTCCAGTTCCAGGCAGATTCCAGGTCCAGGCGGAGAGTCCAGGCCCAGTCAAAGAGTCCGGGTCCAGGCGGAGAGTCCGGATCCAATTGGAGAGTCAGGTTCCAGGCGAAGAGTCCGGATCCAGTCGGAGAGTCCAGTTCCAGTCGGAGAGTCAGGTTCCAGGCGGAGAGTCCATGTCCAGGCAGATTCCAGGTCCGGGCAGATTCCAGGTCCAGGCGGAGAGTCCGGGTCCAGTCAGAGAGTCCGGGTCCAGGTGGAGAGTCCGGGTCCAGGCGGAGAGTCCGGATCCAGTCGGAGAGTCAGGTTCCTGGCGGAGAGTCCAGGTCCAGGCGGAGAGTCCAGGTCCAGTCAGAGAATCCAGGTCCAGGCGAAGAGTCCGGATCCGGGTGGAGAGTCAGGTTCCAGGTGGAGTCCAGATCCAGTCGGAGAGTCCAGTTCCAGTCAGAGAGTCGGGGTCTAGTCGGAGAGTCCGGGTCCAGGCGGAGAGTCCGGTTCCAGTCAGAGAGTCAGGTTCCTGGCGGAGAGTCCAGGTCCAGGCGGAGAGTCCAGGTCCAGTCAGAGAATCCAGGTCCAGGCGAAGAGTCCGGATCCGGGTGGAGAGTCAGGTTCCAGGTGGAGTCCAGTTCCAGTCAGAGAGTCGGGGTCTAGTCGGAGAGTCCGGGTCCAGGCGGAGAGTCCGGTTCCAGTCAGAGAGTCAGGTTCCTGGCGGAGACTCCGGTCCGTGGTTTATGTCTTCCAGCCGGTCCGGGTCTGCATTCACTGTGAAGTGAAATGAGTTAGTGGAAACAGGTTTTATTTTTACATCAGTGTGAATTCAGTAAGCATTCTGTGAAAATGTTCCACCTTCTTTAGATACTTGTGTTGTCTTAAGCATTTATTTATTCATCTATTCAGTCTGTGATTATGTTCAGCGGAAGCTCTCTTTTATTTTGAAATCTGCTGGGACACCATGTTACCGTAATGCCTAGAAGAAACAGCGCGAGAGCTGGCGAGCTTTACGTCCCACCCTCCGCTTCGCAGCGCGACAGGAAGTTTGCTTAGAAGCAACAACGGAAGCGGGATTTCTACTTAAAAACATGGATTTAAAAGATTAATTGAGTGATTTGAAGTCGCAGACGGCTCAGATGATGTCTAACGCGGCGAGGAGCGGGGACATCATCCACCTGAACGTCGGCGGGAAGAGGTGAGGAGCCGGAGCAGGTTACGGCAGGCTAACCCCCGGCTAGCTTCAATGCTAACAGTATTGTTCCAGCGGTGTTATTGATGAATTAATATCTCAAAAGCAGAGATATATGAACCCCTGCTTATCCTTTAGTCGGGATACAAAGGTTGTGTAAGTGCAGAGAGAGGAAAGCGAGGCCGGAATTAAGTTTTGAAGAAGCTAAAGTTCAGGGAATGAACTAACGTGGAGCTAACGTTAAATATTAACGCTGAACAAAACTAGCTGTATTGTGTATTAAATGAAACAAACGATGAGTTTTGTTCGTGGGTAAAATAACGTTAATCTGAGGAATCTGTCAGGGCGGAACGAGTCGATAGAGGCACACTGTCCGATAATGGAACCTGTGTTTGGCTAACTTTTGAGTGGCAGAAACAGGATTTTAACGGTGGTTCCTTTTGTTTGTTCAAGTCCAGCTGTGGTTCAGTGATACCTGAAGTAAACTGCCTTTGTGCGGCAGAGCTGTCAACATCAGAGTCATGAAAGATAAAGAGGAAGTAACGTTACAGGCAGGAAGAAATCAATTACATGCGAACAAAGTAAATGATCTGTTTGGGTCCTTATGTACAGAAATATACTGACAATCTTAGAGAGAAAACTGCCTGTGAATATAATGCTGCTCATTCAAACTACAGGAAGACAGGAAACGTGTTTGATGTGGTTTCTATAGGACATTTTAAAACGATGTTGCATGAACTCATTACTGTTGAATAATTGTTACCTGTACATTGTGTGTGCCTGCTTTTATAAATAGTTTTTGATATCTGCGTATGTGATGTACACAGTGCTGCCTGGTCTCAGTCTGATTCTCTGTATAAATAGAGGATGTTGGAAGTCCAGCCAAAGCAACTGACTGGTATTTGAAGACCTTTGCATTTGTCCTGATGCTTGGATGAGAACTTTCCTCGTCCTGGAGATTTAAGAGCTTGTGTGGATGCTATTGGTTCTTTGGCACAGTCGTCCATTCACTAAGAATCTAGGTGTGATCTTTGACTGTGCTTTTAAATTTGATAAAAGCCAGCCAGCTCAGACTGTGGGATAAAGATTTTGAAAGAGTAATCCTTGCATTTACAACGTCTCGACCAGAATGCTGGAATTCTTTGTATGTTGGAGTGGATCGGTCGTCTCAGTCGGTTGCAGTTCGTCGTCCAGAGCGCAGCAGCTCGACTTCTAACTGGAACTAAACAGCGTGAGCTCATTACCCCCGATTTAGCTTCCTGTTGGCTTTAGGAGCCTTTATTGCTTGTTTTTAAGATTTTAAATGGGTTGTCACCTTCAAAGCGCTGAGGTTGTCCAATCAGATGCTCCTCACTGTCCCCAGATCCAGGTTAAATAATAAAAGCCGCATTTCGACCAAAAGTACCCGGGACTCTTAAGTCCGCAGATCTCTTTTCAAGGAACTAAAAGGTTCCTTCAGCCCTCTGTTGTTTGCAAACAACGGTGGAAAAGAGACGAGCAGTCGTAGAAAAACATTCTCCAGTTAAAGCCAGAAGCCTCCATTCAAAGATTCACTGCAAGGCAAGCCCCCCCCCCCCCAAAGTACTACCCTACTTTTTGGGTGGTCAAATAAAGACTCTAGAACTAAATTTAGACCCTGGTCCCTCCGGTGGAAACACTGAGTTCCTCCAAAGGTTCCTAGTTCTCGGTTTAGTTCCTTTGGATGAAACGCAGCTAAAGGTGACCAAGCCTCTTGTAATCTGTGGAATATTTTACCTTTTCAAATAAGAACTGCTCGGACTGCTGACATTTTCAATCCTCTCTAAAGACCCACTTCTATTCATCGGCCTTCAGACAGAATTGAGCTTTTACATTTTTCACCTTTTCTACTCTTTTCATCGTGTATAGTTTTTGTATGCTGAATTTGGAAAGCACTTCGGTCAACTAAAGAACTTAGAAATAAATTTGAACTTGAACTCACTTACGCAATATGACAATGTGAGCAAGGATATAAGACGTGTGGAGAAGAAGAAGAGTTAACGAGGTAATGTTGGTTTACAGGTTCAGCACCTCCCGACAGACGCTGACGTGGGTTCCTGACTCCTTTTTCTCCAGGTCAGTGAGACAAACGCACCCACACACACACACACACACACACACGACCTTTCCAAAGCCAAACTCCATTCAAAACGTTTACTGATTACTGACACAACATGTAAATGAAGTCCTTTAATCAATAAGATGGGTCTGCATACAAATAACTGCACTTAGACAGTGCATCAACTAGGGCTGCAACTAATGGTTATTTTCCTTTTTCATTTTCTCCTTTTAATTGATTAGTTGTCTGTTCCATAAAATGGTGAAAAATGTTCATTCAGTGTTGCCAGAGATGACGTCCTCAAACGTCCTTTTTTTTTTAACAACCCAAATATAATCCGTTTATTGTCACAGAGGAGGAAAGAAACCAGGAAATATTGTTGGAAGCTGGAATCATAGGGTGTGACAAAGTAGATCTGTAAATGTTTATTTGTAAAACGGGAAGATTATAAGTATTTGATTTGTGGACAAATTATTTTTCTTCTTCCCACTCCTTTCGAATATGTAAAGAAACTGACAAGAGTTTCAAAACTTTCTTTCTGTAATTATTATTATTTTATTTATTATTGTGTTATTTAATAATTTTGATTTGTTTTAATTACTATTTGTTGTTGGATGTTAACGGAAAAGCAGCTGCCAGCGTAATGTACAGTAAAGTGTGCTGTGTCTCTAACCGCTGGACTGTTTGTGCTTGTCTTCAGTCTTCTGAGCGGTCGGATCTCGACTCTGAAGGATGAAACTGGAGCTGTAAGTTCAGTCGCTCTGTGTTCGTCTGTTCGTTTAGTCCTCACATTGTTATCATCTTCGTTACACTGCTGTAAACAAAATGCGTGTCTCTCACCGTAGATCTTCATCGACAGGGACCCGTCTCTGTTCGCCACCATCCTCAACTTCCTACGGACCAAAGAGCTGCACCCCCGCTCCATCAACGTGCACATGCTCATGCACGAGGCCGAGTTCTACGGCATCACGCCGCTGGGTGAGTCTGAGCCTCGGGAGATGTGACGAGACGGGAGAAAATATTTTGCCAAATCAGCATACATTTAAAAAAAAGATGCCTTTAAATGAGAATAATTTTAAAAACTCTGATTTACAGAGTTTACAGATGTTAAATAGTTTAGAAGATTATTATCTTCTCTCTGTTTAAGGTCCAGTTGACGCAAAGTAGTGTTTTCAGCGTCCACGGTGTGTGTAGAAAGGAAGTAGTCTTACTTGTTCTCTCGCTGTTATGGTCTGTTCAGTTCAATTCAATTTTATGTATATAGCGCCAAATCACAAAGAGAGAGAGAGAGAGAGAGAATATATACACAGAGGTACAGACAGTAAAGGTGATGTTGCTATAGACTAAATGAAAAATGGTACAGATATTTATAGTAGTGTTAATGGTAACAGTCGTAATGTTAATGATTATAATAACAATAATAACAATAGGACTAGTAACAATAATTGCAGCAGAGGGTGTCGAGCAGGAACACGGGGGCAGCAGGTGACCCGCAACCACAGATCCAGACTCCACAGCTCCAGAGCCAGAAAACCTGCAGGAAGTGATAGGAGGAGAGAGGAGAGAGACGAGAAAGCACAAGACTACCAGAAAGGGGAGAAGTTGTGTTAGTAACATGCAATAATGGGATGAGGTTGCATACAGAGGGAGAGAAAGTAGAGGAGAGAGGAGCTCAGTGCATCATGGGAAATCCCCCGGCAGTCTAGGCCTATAGCAGCATAACTAAGGGATGGTTCAGGACTACCTGAGCCAGCCCTAACTATAAGCTTTATCAAAGAGGAAAGTCTTAAGCCTACTCTTAAATGTGGAGATGGTGTCTGCCTCCTGAACCCAAACTGGAACCTGGTTCCACAGGAGAGGAGCTTGATAGCTGAACGCTCTGGCTCCTAGTCTACTTTTGGAGACTCTAGGAACCACAAGTAACCCTGCATTCTGGGAGCGCAGTGCTCTGGTGGGGTAGTAAGGTACTATGAGCTCTTTAAGATAAGATGGTGCCTGACCATTAAGAGCTTTGTAGGTAAGAAGAATGATTTTAAATTCTATTCTGGATTTTACTGGAAGCCAATGCAAAGAAGCTAAAACAGGAGAAATGTGATCTCTTTTCCTGGTTCCTGTCAGAACATGTGCTGCAGCATTCTGGATCAGCTGAAGAGTCCTTTACAAACTGCACGCTCACTACTTTAAGCTGTTATACAAACTGCACGCTCACTACTTTAAGTGTCATTTCTTCAGTGTCGTCGCATGAAAAGATAGAATCACGTATTTACAAAGATGTGAGGGGTGAACTCACTCTGGTGAGATACTGCAGATCCTTGCAAAAATTGAAAATGTGATTAATGAGGTAAAAATGATCATCCCCTCTAATATGGCAAATTGTATCGCAGTTGCTATATCAGTCAAAATAATCGCAATTTTCAAAATCGTTGAGCCCTAAAATACGTGTTGAGTTTGTGCAGGTTTCCTCTGGTCTGTGGGACAATAAGAACATTTAAGCCCCTTTAGTTTTTTAATATCACTATCACTATCAGCGATAAGATGTTTTTCTTTGTGCGTCTGACGTTGCTCTGCTCTGTTATCTGATGAAAGAACTGTGTTTTAACAGTGCGTAAGCTGCAGCTGTGCGACGAGCTGGACCGATCCTCCTGTGGAAACGTGCTGTTCAATGGCTACCTGCCTCCACCAGGTAAACCACACCGTCACCACAGCACACCTGATCCACACGAGAGAAAGTGTTTAAATAATGTTTGTTTATTTCAAGTGTTACCGGAGAAACGGAGGTTAATATATCAGTTCAACAGAATGAACGATGGGCAGATGTCAGATCGATGCTTGTTTCATTGGCTCTTCCTGCTCTGAGCATACAAGTGATGACTCATGTGATCGCTTAAGGTTTCTTGTAAATGATCCTCTACATTTTACTGTAAGTTGGTGTGAGTCACTTTGCTGGAAGTGAAGAATGAGACACATTTACAAAGAACATTTTTTCACTTCTCAGTTGGGTTCAGCATCATCACAGGTGGTGATGGCGCAAGACCTTTGTTGTAAGAGACCAGGAAGAGGATTCAATCCCCACTGTGACACATCCACCGATGTGTCCCTGAGCAAGACGCTTAATGCCTCGTTGATCCAGAGGCGTGCGACCTCTGACAGATGTAGCAGTTGTAAGTCGCTTTGGATAAAAGCGTCAGCTAAATGAATAAGTTATGAATGAGACAGTTTTATATTTCCCTTAACAGAAGTTCATCCGTGCGGTAACCTTATAGGAATAGTTTCAAACTTCCCTTAGTTTCTGGGAAAAACAGCCAGTTAAGATTGAGTTAAGAGAAACTCTTAATGAGGGGCGTGTCAGTTCTACCTTTAAGACTCCTGAGATTTAGGAGTCTTAAAGACGGTATAAAAGAAGTGGGCGTAGCCGCTGTGACATCACCCTGCCGTTCTGAAGCCTTGAGTCTGGCATTTTTGCCGTCACCATTATATTATTTTTTGGAGCCGTATTTGGAGGGAGGAGCTAGCTAGCTTGATTAGCTAGCGACAAACAAAGTGTACTTAGCGGGAAAATGAGCAGCCGACTCCTGATGAGCTTTCTCAGCGGCGCTGGTTAAATGACCAGACCAGAAACTCATCAGGAAAGTGTTTACTGAGGGAATAAATCAGCTGACAAGTAGAAACATTTTCTCACAGACTTCTATACAATCACACTTCTTTCTGCAGCCGCTGGAGTCGCCCCCTGCTGGCTGCTGGAGAGGACGCAGGTTTAAGTCGCCCCCTGCTGGCTGCTAGAGAGGACGCAGGTTTAAGTCGCCCCCTGCTGGCTGCTAGAGAGGACGCAGGTTTAAGTCGCCCCCTGCTGGCCGCTAGAGAGGGCGCAGGTTTAAGTCGCCCCCTGCTGGCCGCTAGAGAGGGCGCAGGTTTAAGTCGCCCCCTGCTGGCTGCTAGAGAGGACGCAGGTTTAAGTCGCCCCCTGCTGGCTGCTAGAGAGGACGCAGGTTTAAGTCGCCCCCTGCTGGCTGCTGGAGAGGACGCAGGTTTAAGTCGCCCCCTGCTGGCTGCTAGAGAGGACGCAGGTTTAAGTCGCCCCCTGCTGGCTGCTAGAGAGGACGCAGGTTTAAGTCGCCCCCTGCTGGCTGCTAGAGAGGACGCAGGTTTAAGTCGCCCCCTGCTGGCTGCTAGAGAGGACGCAGGTTTAAGTCGCCCCCTGCTGGCTGCTAGAGAGGACGCAGGTTTAAGTCGCCCCCTGCTGGCTGCTAGAGAGGACGCAGGTTTAAGTCGCCCCCTGCTGGCTGCTAGAGAGGACGCAGGTTTAAGTCGCCCCCTGCTGGCCGCTAGAGAGGACGCAGGTTTAAGTCGCCCCCTGCTGGCTGCTAGAGAGGACGCAGGTTTAAGTCGCCCCCTGCTGGCCGCTAGAGAGGACGCAGGTTTAAGTCGCCCCCTGCTGGCTGCTAGAGAGGACGCAGGTTTAAGTCGCCCCCTGCTGGCCGCTAGAGAGGACGCAGGTTTAAGTCGCCCCCTGCTGGCCGCTAGAGAGGACGCAGGTTTAAGTCGCCCCCTGCTGGCTGCTAGAGAGGACGCAGGTTTAAGTCGCCCCCTGCTGGCCGCTAGAGAGGGCGCAGGTTTAAGTCGCCCCCTGCTGGCCGCTAGAGAGAACGCAGGTTTAAGTCGCCCCCTGCTGGCCGCTAGAGAGAACGCAGGTTTAAGTCGCCCCCTGCTGGCCGCTAGAGAGACGCAGGTTTAAGGCGCCCCCTGCTGGCCGTTAGAGAGGACGCAGGTTTAAGGCGCCCCCTGCTGGCTGTTAGAGAGGACGCAGGTTTAAGGCGCCCCCTGCTGGCTGCTGGAGAGGACGCAGGTTTAAGGCGCCCCCTGCTGGCTGCTGGAGAGGACGCAGGTTTAAGGCGCCCCCTGCTGGCTGCTGGAGAGGACGCAGGTTTAAGTCGCCCCCTGCTGGCTGCGAGAGGACGCAGGTTTAAGGCGCCCCCTGCTGGCTGTTAGAGAGGACGCAGGTTTAAGTCGCCCCCTGCTGGCTGTAGAGAGGACGCAGGTTTAAGTCGCCCCCTGCTGGCTGTTAGAGAGAACGCAGGTTTAAGGCCCCCTGCTGGCTGTAGAGAGGACGCAGGTTTAAGGCGCCCCCTGCTGGCTGCTGGAGAGGACGCAGGTTTAAGTCGCCCCCTGCTGGCTGCTAGAGAGGACGCAGGTTTAAGTCGCCCCCTGCTGGCTGCTAAAGAGGACGCAGGTTTAAGTCGCCCCCTGCTGGCTGCTGGAGAGGACGCAGGTTTAAGTCGCCCCCTGCTGGCTGCTAGAGAGGACGCAGGTTTAAGTCGCCCCTGCTGGCTGCTAGAGAGGACGCAGGTTTAAGTCGCCCCCTGCTGGCTGCTGGAGAGGACGCAGGTTTAAGTCGCCCCCTGCTGGCTGCTAGAGAGGACGCAGGTTTAAGTCGCCCCCTGCTGGCTGCTGGAGAGGACGCAGGTTTAAGTCGCCCCCTGCTGGCTGCTGGAGAGGACGCAGGTTTAAGTCGCCCCCTGCTGGCTGCTAAAGGACGCAGGTTTAAGTCGCCCCCTGCTGGCTGCTAGAGAGGACGCAGGTTTAAGTCGCCCCCTGCTGGCTGCTGGAGAGGACGCAGGTTTAAGTCGCCCCCTGCTGGCTGCTGGAGAGGACGCAGGTTTAAGGCGCCCCCTGCTGGCTGCTGGAGAGGACGCAGGTTTAAGTCGCCCCCTGCTGGCTGCTAAAGAGGACGCAGGTTTAAGTCGCCCCCTGCTGGCTGCTAGAGAGGACGCAGGTTTAAGTCGCCCCCTGCTGGCTGCTGGAGAGGACGCAGGTTTAAGTCGCCCCCTGCTGGCCGCTAGTGAGGACGCAGGTTTAAGTCGCCCCCTGCTGGCCGCTGGAGAGGACGCAGGTTTAAGTCGCCCCCTGCTGGCTGCTGGAGAGGACGCAGGTTTAAGTCGCCCCCTGCTGGCTGCTGGAGAGGACGCAGGTTTAAGTCGCCCCCTGCTGGCTGCTAGAGAGGACGCAGGTTTAAGACTTCACTTTCAGACCCGGAGGTTCCTGCTTGGTTCGGCCTGACACAAACATTATTTTTTTAGAGATCTCAGCCAGTTAGGAGCTCCGTTTAGCCTCAGGATGTTTTGGGAATGCGTCCCTCTGAGGGTCCGGCCCCTGATTTCTGTTTCCCCCTCTTGTGTCCTCACTTCCTGTTCGTGTCTCTCCCAGTGTACCCGGCGAAGCGCCGTAACCGTCACAGCGTAGCGGGATCGCAGTTCATGGCCGGCCGAGTCGTGCCTGCAGAGAGAGCGCCGGTCAGACGCAGCAACACCATGCCCCCCAACCTGGGGAATTCTGGGATACTGGGCAGAGCCAGCACTGAGGAGAGGACGCCTGGAGGTAAAGACACACATTTAATGTCCCTGGATTGTAAAACATTTATACCTTTTGAGTGTTGTAATGGAAAGATGAAGGATTGGAAAGTGATCCAGAGTTTTCTAACGTGTTTGTAGGTCAGGTATCAGATCCCGGCCTGGTCCGGATCATCTGTGGTCATCACAACTGGATCGCTGTGGCCTACGCGCAGTTTGTCGTCTGCTACAGGTAAACACTTTGTTTTCTAGAGAAACAGTTCAGTTCAACGGGGCTTTATTGGCAGGAAACAGACGTTTTAAATGTTTGTTAAAAAATACAAATAAGTGAGAACTATAGAAACATGCAGTGAAGCTAAATGTCCTTTATTAGGGCCCGAGCACGACCGTGCGAGGTCCCTATTGAATTTGCTAAGATTATTATTTTTAGGGCCGAGCACGAACCGTGTTATTAGGGCCCGAGCACGAACCGTGTTATTAGGGCCCGAGCACGAACCGTGTTATTAGGGCCCGAGCACGACCGTGCGAGGTCCCTATTGAAACTGTAACTCCTGCTGTGACCTGTATTCAATAGCAATCACATCTGTATATAAACACGTGTGCATATAGCGCACCCCCAACACTTACCCTAATCTATTTTTATTAAATGTGTATTTTCTTATCCGTTTCTGGCACTGGTGTAAATCAGGGCTCTACGGTGAGACCAGTTTGCACGTATATGCCCCTAAAAATTGATACGTGCGAACCGTTAAAATGACTGGCTGTGGGTTTAGCTAGCTGGCTATTTATCTACATCAGGAATCTTTTGTAGAAACATGTTGAACTTTAATAAAATCAATTTCACTTTTACTCAACTGACCAATCACAGCCTGGATGGGGCGGGACATAAAAATGGTTTGACGTGCTACAGCTTTCAAATGTTGAACTCATTCTGCATGAATGGTTCTTATTATTGCTGAGATAGTAGCATTAACAAATTAAGAGACCAATGTAGGCCATTTATCTTGCACCAAGATTTAATAAATAGGGCCATGGATAAAAATACAGTGAATCGAAACACTTCACCTCTGTATCCAGGAGGGCCATGAGCAGCACCGTGCAACATGAAGGGATTCCCTAAAAGTGTTGCTGTGTGTGCATTTTAGAACTTTATGATATAGAGTTTACTGAGTGTTATTTTACTCCTCAAGAACTTATTTGACCTTGAGACTGACGCTCTCTCTCTGTCTCACAGGGTGAAGGAGTCCACCGGGTGGCAGCAGGTCTTCACCTCCCCCCGTCTGGACTGGGTGATCGACAGAGTCGCGCTCAACGCCAAGGTGATGGCGGGCTCTCTGGGAGACAACGACAAGATGGTGGCCGTAGCCTCGGGAACGGAGATCATCCTGTGGGCCATCTGCCCGGACGGCAACGGAAACGAAATCGGTGCGAGTTTGTGCCTGGGCCCTGTTTCCCAAAAACGTTGTCACTTAAGATTCTCTCAAACGAAATGATTTGAGGTAAACGGGGCTCGTCCAGCTGCCGCTCGGGAGGGATAGCAGCATCTTTAGAACCTTTCTGTCAGTCCTTCCTGGGTTTGGTGAAATGTTTAATAAAGACTTGGAGGAACCCAGAAGAATCAACACTTCAGTCTCAAACGCTGCGGCTTTAAGGTTTAAAGGCAGAAAACATGTTTTGACGTTTAGTAAAAATAATCGTCCTTTTCAGGCTGTTCCAGCAGCACAGAAACAACTTGACGTCGTTTCTTTCTCCTGCAGGCGTCTTCAGTCTGAACGTGCCGGTAGAGGCTCTCTTCTTCGTTGGTAACCAGCTGATCGCCACCAGCCACACGGGGAAGGTCGGGGTTTGGAACGCCGTCACCAAACACTGGCAGGTGGGTGGAAACGCACTCTGCTGCACGGCATCATGACACCTAAGTCACTCGCTTCCGCTTCCGGCCCACGGGACCTTATTTCGGGAAAAATATGTACGATAGTCGACAACGAGACACAACTTATTTGTTGATCCCGTTTGAACTGAGCCCTGAATCACACACATGATGTTTGTCAGTTTGAAAGATAATTTTATCCATCAGGAAAGTTGCAGTTTGTCATAAATCAGTAAAGTTACATGTCGTTTTGAGTGAAAACCGTTCAGTGAGCTACGTCTCTCGTCTTGCACGAGATACGTCACCAAGATGTTAGCGCGGTGATGCTAAGCTAACGTTCATTGCTTGGTTGCTGCTAGCTAGATTAGCTATGTTCCACACAGAAATATATCTCGCCTGATGCTTTTAATGCAACGACTCTCAAGTTCTTTGACGTTCACTTCAGTCATTAGTTATGACGCCACATACGCCACTTTTGGGTTTGTGGTCTCTGTAATTATGCATTTTCAGTCTTATATATTACACAAACTGCAACTTTCTTGACTCTTAAATTAGGGCTGCACGATAAATGTAATTGCGATGTCGTCATGTGCGAGAGTGTGCGAGACACTCTCCTCTCTGCTGCAGTCGGCTCATTATCATAACTTTTAAGACAACAACTGACCGTAACCAGGGTTCCCGCAGCTCCTTAAAAAGTCTTAAAAGGTCTTAAATTGAAATCAGGGAAATTAAGGTCTTAAACTGTCTTAAATTTGCTGTAGGTATTAAATTTGCCAATGATGCGTTTAAGGCTGGTGCGGAAATTGTCACGCACATTCGACTAAAACGCATAGCGTGTATTTGTATGATTTTATTTTAGTAATTGACAATGCGAGACCCCGCCATTAGTATAACTCATGTCGCGTTTACGTTAGCTGCAGACGTTGACGTAGATCGGATCGTTCTCTGTAGCTCAAACAGCTGCAGCCTACATCACGTCCTCCTCATCCAAAAAATGATCTATAACTACAAGTTAAAATAACTTTCTAAAGTGTGTCTTTCACCGTGATTTGTTTTCCTCCATGGATTATTTACCTCTCTTTAGCAGTGTGCCTGTGTATTAAATCGGCCGGTTATTTTAGTAGTTTATATTGAGTTTAACACAGTGTGTGAGTAAGGGCTGGGCGATATGGGAAAAACTAGTAAAATCATCATTATTTTTAGCTTAAAGGCTGATTTTAGCTCCTGAAGAAACCAGATGGTTAATTGTGCTTTTAAACGTTTCTTTACGGTCAGAACAAACACTTGATGCCAAAAAGCAGCCTGGTATCAAACAGTGGATCACGTCACAGAGCTGAGGTAGATCATCCAAAACAACAAATATGCACGAGAAAAATTCATTAATTAGTACTTTTTCCTCAACAAAATAAATATCTTAATAGAAAAGAAAGTGCTAATTTGTTTGTGATTTCAAATAAATTAAATCAAATATTTATTGAACAAAGAGAAATTGAGAAAGATTGTGTCACGATAATTAACATTATTGTGATATTGCCCCGTAGTTCACGTTCACAAACGGACACGATCGGTTCACCAAAAACATGAGCAAGATCAATAATCTACAATGTTTGAGCACGTTTATGCACAACACTGAATGGACACACTGTCCAGGCACCTGTCTGCGGTCATGGTGTCCCTGAACACATCCAGAGGTCGTTTTGCTGATCGGATCACAATCTGTCCTCAATGTGTCTCGGGTGCATTTACACATGTACTTTCATGTGTTCAAGTGCTACCTGATCACAATCTGATCACACACAATACATTTTAATGCCAGGTGTAAACTCTGTCTTCCTCAATTCGGTATAAGTCATTTACCTGTGGTGAAAATAAAACTGCCAAATATATATTGCGTCGTTCATTAAGGGATCAAACGCGCGTCTTTTTTCTCTCAAAGAAATTGTTTCAAAATTTGAGGTCTTAAATTTATATTTCTTGAGGTCTTAAAAGGTCTTAAAAAGCATTAAATTTGACTTTTAAACTGGTGCAAGAACCCTGGTAATTTCCTTGACGGCCGCTAATCGTTCAAAACGTAGTCACAGGACTCGTCACGGAGCGCTCTGTGACGGAGAGACGTCGTCCACAGCTGAGGCGTTCAGACAGAAGAAAACGGGGAGAAGATAAAGAAGGTTTGAGTTTGGCTCGCTGCCATTTAACTTTAGCCGTATATATCAAGTTTTCACAGAGCCGACGTGCTCGTCAGTCACTTCTCATCAACCGACCAATCGCAGCCTGGATGGGGCGGGACATTAAAAAAGTTTTATGTGCTGCAGCAAATCATTAAATGTTGAACAATATGATTGTTGAGAAGTTAGTAATCAGCATTAACAAATTAGAGACCGATGTAGAGTCTTTTTCCTGCACAAGCATTTAATAAATCAGAACAACCCACAGAAATGAAACGGCTGTAACTGGATTATTCAACTAGTGGTAAAAAAGTATACTTTATAATGAATGTAGTATTTAATATATTATTGTTATACTAACAGTAAACTATTAACTATATACTCTTTATTTAATCCACTCGTGTCCAGTTCCTCCTCCACGCTGTGGATAGAGACTCTGCTTTAGACAGATATAATATATTCTCCTCTGCAGAGCAACACAAGCGAGTAGACTCAGATTATCATTTGCTCAATTATAATCAAATCACAATATTACTTTTTCTCCAAATCGTGCAGCCCTAATTTAAATGCATATTTTAAATTGACCATCATCATCATGTGTAATTCAGAGCACAATTCAAACGGGATCAAAAAATTAGTTGTCTCTCACCGTTGAATTTTGCTACTGCTGCCTCGTTCGGTCAGTTTCTTTTGTGTTATTGTGTGACTTTGTTGTTTTTGATTGTTTTTAACACAAACTAACCAATCGAGGCAGCGGCAGACTAGTGACTCCCCTTTTGTTCCAGGTAAAATTACTGTTTTCATCAGTGGAGTCTTGCGGCTTTGATGACTGTTTCTGATGATCTTTTTAGAGAAGTTCTGTCTCTGTAAGGATCCTTTCCATAATAATTTCAGACACTTTCAGACCGTCTGAACCAGTCAGCGGCAAAAAGTGCAAGCATTACGCTGCAGCCCCGTTTCGCGGCTGCAGCCAAACCTGATTAATATAATTATAACGTTAGTGATAAAGCGCCTATCAAACAAAAGTTAAAAGTGCTTTAAAAAAGATAAACACAGGGTGAAAAGATAAAATACATGAGGACAATGCAAGTCATAAAATACAAATAAAACATGGAAATCACAATTAATTAAAACAGTTTGACTATAACAATAAGAATAAATAGCAACTTTATGACTGAAATAGAAAATGTAAGATAAAACGAGCAGCTCCGGTAAAATGCCTTCCGATTTAAAAGTGTGTTTTTAAAAGAGGACACTGACTCTGAGAGCCTTACTTCCTTGGGCAGGTGGTTCCAGATCTCAAATTTACCATAAATTCATAAGGAGTTAAAAGGTCTGATTTTATAAGCAGGAGCCAAACCATGGAGAGCCTTAAAAGTAATCACTGAGATCTTAAAATAAAGACAAACAGGGAGCCGATGTAAAGAGGCTAAAACAGGAGTGATGTGATCAGACCTTTACTGCTGTCAGGTTTTTAGCTCAGGATTGTTTAATGGTGCCTGTAAGGATTTGTAAAGCAAACTATAAACATGAGCAGCAGCTTCCAGTTCTTCATCTCTGATGTTCTGTGTGCAGAATCAGGACGTGGTTCCCATCAGCAGCTACGACACCGCCGGCTCCTTCCTCATCCTGGGCTGCAACAACGGATCCATCTACTATATAGGTGAGTCGGCACAGCGCTGTACTGGCTTACTGCTAATTAGCATTTAGCTCAAAGCAGTGCGGCCTCACAGAGGCGTTGGCGTGGCTGCAGACTCTGGTCTACATACGGACTGAATATCGAGTGGAGACCTGTAGAACAACTGGCTCGTTGTTATCTGTATATGAAGCAATAAAGATACGTTTGAACAGAGAATCGCTGCTGTTTCATGATGTTTGTTTGTCAGATGTGCAGAAGTTTCCTCTGAGGATGAAGGACAACGATCTGCTGGTGACGGAGCTGTACAGAGACCCGACTGAAGACGCCATCACTGCTCTCAGCGTCTACCTCACTCCCAAAACAAGTATGGAACTACAACACTGTTGACATCTGTTCTCATTGTACATCTGCTTCATGCTTTGTTGTATTTAATCAGAGAATCAAAGGAAACTTAATGTTGCTAAAGTGAAAACACGGCTCTACCAAGCGATTCATTAAATGTTAAGTTTAAAAACATGAAGCTTAATCCGACCTCATAAAATCTGTGTTTAACTTGAGTCTGAAATGTCGTGTGGTCAGGTGACAGCGGGAACTGGATCGAGATCGCGTATGGGACCAGCTCTGGGACGGTTCGAGTCATCGTTCAGCATCCAGAGACGGTCGGCTCGGGGCCGCAGCTCTTCCAGACCTTCTCCGTCCACCGCAGCCCCGTCACCAAGATCATGCTGTCCGAGAAACACCTCATCTCAGGTACGAGTGCGAGAGGGGACGCCTCGTCTCGGGGACGCCTCGTCTCGGGGACGCCTCATCTCTGGTACAGGGTTCTCTCAGCTCTTACCTCTAAAATCCACTGACTCCGTCTACGGCACGTTACGGCTGCGCCACGGTTGCCGGAGCTAATCGCTGCCATTATAGTCAATGCTCGTGAGTCCACCAGCTGCGGCCGCAGCGCGTCTCAGAAGCGTCTCAGAAGCGTCCCAGAAGCTCCGCAGAGAACAGGCAGCAGGTCTATTTTCACCGCTAGCCGCGTCAAGCAGCACAGAGCAGATCGAACCAGGCAGGAAGTCAGACACAGAACGGCAGAGATAATCCGGTCAATTTTCAAAATAAAACACCCTGTGGATCCTCCCGATTGTAAAACAACAATAACACAGTGAAAACGGACACAAAAGGAAAACATTTAACTACGTAGCTACTTGATCACAGAAGCACAAAATGCAAACACTGATGACCAAATCAACAAAATCTAAACATTTCAGCAAAATCAGTGGACGTTGACGCCGGGATGAGGACGCATCAAAACCGTGGCGCAGCCGTAACGTGTCGTAGCCGGAGTCAGTGGATTCCCGGCGTTAGTCTTAAATTGTCTTAAATTTCCTGTAGATATTAAATTTGCCGATGGCGCGTTTTAGGCTAGCTTGAAATTTTTAGTTAGCTTACACCCTTTACACATTAGTAAACACCCCCTATGTTCGGAATATGCAAAGGGAAAATAAAATGCCGACATGACATCATTAAAAAGAGCTATCGTGCATCTTGTTTGGGTTAAATTTGCTATAAAATGGCGGAAAAAGAACAGAACACATAGCAGAGACAATTAAACTTGAGTGCTGTTTGTATCATTTGCACAGTTTCTTTGACACTTTTAGGTTTTGTTAAATTATATTTGTTGAGGTCTTAAAGTCTTGAATTAGACTCTTAATGGTGCCAGAACTGTCTGAGAGAGACAGATTCTTTGTCTCTGGTTTTTATTGGCGTCCGTAAGAGTTGGTAAACCAAACTATAAAACTGAGGGGGACGCGTCCCGAGACGCACTTCTTCTCTTGGACCGGTACTGAAACTGAAACCCTCGGTCCAGGTTCTTCTTCACGTTGCTCGTTTCTGGGTCACTGAAGTCGTTGGTGTTTGTTGTCTCTCAGTTTGTGCGGACAACAACCACGTGCGGACGTGGACGGTGACTCGCTTCAGAGGGATGATCTCCACCCAGCCGGGCTCCACGCCGCTCACCTCCTTCAAGATCCTCAGCCTGGACGACATCGACGGGCACGGAGGCTGCAGCGCCGGGACAGAGATAGGTAACGCGCACGGCCACAGGGGTTAAAGGTCAACGAGTTTCCTCTGTTTTCAAAAAATATTCCATTTTTTAACAGCAAATTGGTGAATTTTCCAACACATTTGAGATATTCAACATCATCTGTGGTAAGTTATTAGAGTCGGCGTGGCCGAGTGTCAGCAATAGATGGCCTAACGTTTCACTTCCATCACTATATTGGATGTATACTCAAAGATGGGAGGAACGTCTGCAGGAGACGCAGCACCAGAGGGGCGGGGCTGTGATGCTGCTGTTGGCCAGGACACTGCGGAGAAGGAGCCCATTAAAACAATCCACGTGCATGTTAGAGGACGGGTTGTTAGGCGAGATGGTAACTGTGCTCCTGGTTCTCAGGTCCGTATGGAGAGAGAGACGACCAGCAGGTGTTCATCCAGAGAGTCGTACCGGACACCGATAAACTCTACGTGAGGCTGTCGTCCAACGGAAAGAGGTGAGTGTGACCTAATAACGGCTGGATAAACGGCTCGTTTGGATGCTTTTAAATAATCTTTTTACCAAGTTGAAATTACTTTGCAAACTGAAAATAACCCAAACACAGACGTCTCATCACCTGACCGTGATCTGAGCAGCATGCGTAGACGAAATGAAACTGCTGCAGCCTCCTGAACTTCCCCCGTTACTGATTCGCAAACCATGAGTTCACAATCAAGAGTTTAACTGGCAGCTTGTTAAGTCCCATCAAAAACACACAGTCCGCTGGTCGTACGCTGGAGTTTCAGATGTGTCTTCACTCACATACTATCTTTGTGGGCACGGCGCTCACGGAGCTCCCCTGTGCGCCCTGGTTCTTCAGCAGACTACCAGGGGCGCGTAAAAATCTTAAAAGTTAAATAGAAAGTGTTACCTGTAGGCCTGTTCTGTGAGCACGTGCTCTCTGACAGCACCACAAACATAGACTGTATAAAAGAAGTGGGCGTAGCCGGCGTGACGCCCCCCCGTTGGTTTGTGGTTTACCGTTTTGAAGCCTCAAGTTTGGGATTTTGGCCGTCGCACTCTTGTTTTAATTTTTCATTTAAATTTTTTTAACCAGACGTGACCATATTTGGACGCTAGGTGCATCTGTAACTCACTGCGATATCTGTGAGGTGTGTTTGACTTCACTTACCGTGATGCATGCTGGTTAGAAATTCAGCATGTCACGTGACTTTAAAACCTTCCAGGAGCAAACTGGCTGCAGTTTTCTGAGTCTGTTGCCACAGTTGCAGTTCTAAGTGTTTCTGCACACCACCCCTGCAGGCGCCAGCAGCTCACATTTGAACATCAAGTCAACGAAAAACTGGCTTAAAACAAAATGTTCTTACCGGGAAAAATGAACAGCCGACTCCTTAAAGCAGCGGCAGTCGGCAAACAAGTGTAGAAAACATAGTCAAATCATTTCAAATCCATCCGATGACGTTTAGCTCAGACCGGCAGATCCCTTGTTAAACAAATTGATTCTAAGGTCACTTCTGCACATGCTCACAATAAAGCATGTGCTGCAGTGAGCGGCAGTCATGGACGCTTCTTTTCATTTCCCTGAGGAACTTCAGGGGAATCCAATCACACCTATACTGACGCTGTTTTCAGAGGTGTGTCCAGCAGGCCAGAGTCTCTTTTGAATGTTCAGAACTTTTCAAAGTAAAGGCTCACTAACCTCAACATGACGCATTGCTGCAAAAAACGTTCTCGTGCTTTTATTTTGGAGGCACAATCACGTAAGAGGAAGTGATCGTGTGAGTAACTGTTGCTGTCATGACTGAGATCCATTTCAGCACCAGCCGCTATCAATTTATTTATTTTCTATTTGTCTGCTATCAAAGCAACGTGGCCGCGGGCCGCCTGTTGCTGCCCACTGATGTAGAGTGTGTTTCAGTTCAAACGAACGCTGATTAAGTCGTTTTTAGGCGACCCAACGGTGAAAGGGTCGAAGCTCTGTGACGGCACCCAAAGACAATTTCACCGCTCGTCAAATGTGGATACGACTCACCTCTAAGGGATCACGCTGTGTTGAAGAAGACTTAAAACTAGCGACTGAGACCATGAACTCATCAGGAAAGTGTTTACTGAGGGAATAAATCAGCTGAGACATTTTCTCATAGACTTCTTCCTGCAAGCAGTGGAGTCGCTGAGGACTTTCTAACCTCATGCCCCAAATATAAAACACTAAGACCAAAAAACTTTGCAAACATTTCCCAAATATACCCCGAATTCAAATTTATATCAGACTCACAGAAACTCCCCTATTTACTGGGAGAAATGCCCAAATGTCAAATAATTGCTGCAAAATATGTCTCCTCATGCCATGAAGTGAAGACAACCAGCGGAAACTGATAAATACATTAAATAACTGTACTTATGTTCAGATTATTAAGATTTTGTTTGATATTTTAGTAATTGTTCCTGATTTTTTTCAATTTTTTTATTTCACATTTGATACTGATTTTTTTAAAAATTTTTGTCTATTAACACACACACGATTAGTTTTATGTATTTGTTATTTTAATTTAATATATTTAAACATTTTTTTTAAACACACATTTATTTATTAACTTTTATTTTATTATTTATTTATTTTTATGTAATTTTTATATGATATATTTTCTATTTTATTTTTTATTAACACACACAAACACATCTTTTACTGTTTTATTTAATTCTTTAATAAATGTATGAAATTCATTGTTTTGTTATTTATTTGTAGCTTTGGCAATATTGTTGTGATACATTCATGCCAATAAAGCTGATTTGAATTGAGAACCATTACGTGTTTTTCCCTAGAAATTCGTCCTAAAAACGTCTTATTTTCAGTTCTGCCACTTTAAATGTTGATATAAACCCACGAGAAAAACCAACAACCTGCCTTGTTTTATTTTATTCAGTGTGTTTTTATTAAACTTATTTTCAAATAAAATGATTTTCTTTATATAAACAAGATTTGCTCGTGTGTGTGTGTGTGTGTGTGTCAGGGTGTGTGAGGTGCGCTCGGTGGACGGCACCTCCATCACGGCCTTCATGGTCCACGAGTGCGAGGGCTCGAGTCGCATCGGCTCTCGGCCCCGTCGGTACCTGTTCAGCGGTCACAGCAACGGCAGCATCCAGATGTGGGACCTGACCACCGCCATGGACATCGCTGGCAAGGTCGACATCAGAGGTGGGACGCAACATTATTGAGGACAGGTTTCTCAAAATCGATGTAGCTTTAATGCTCTGTGATTGGTCGGTGAGTGATGTGGGCTCTCATTGGTTGTTTCGTAGCGCTGGGCGGGCCGACCGAGGAGGAGCTGCTGGAGCTGTTGGACCAGTGCGACCTGGCTCTGACCAGAACACCTGACAGCACACCTAGAGCCTCCACCTGCAGGTACACACACACACACACACACCCCAATAACAAATAAACACCTTGGTCATGTGACCCTCACCCGACCGTCAACCTTGCTGTTGACTCTTGTGACTTCCTGTTCCACCAGTCTTCACTCTCAGCTCAGCGACGTCTTCAGGACGGAGCGTCTCCACCCTGCAGCGGGAGGACGAGCAGCCGGAGCTTCGGGTTCGTCCGCTTCGCTGTGCGGCAGCCTCCCCCGCCAGGCTCCGCCCCCCGTGCCCCTCACCAAACCGGTCAGAGACTGCGGCCTATCAGCTGGGGTCGGGCCGCACACACTAACCATCCCAGCCTACGGCCACAACTCCGGCACCGGCCCGACCGCCAGCCCCCGGCTCCCCAGACACCCGGACCGAGACCGGGAGTGGGGGTCTCTCCGAAGGGGGAGCTTTGTGGAACGCTGCCAGGAGCGCGCCAAGGGTTCAGAGGCCGGCTCAGGGTTCGGGGTCCCGGCGGGAACGGAGGGTGTCAGACGGAGCTTAGCGGTGTGCAGCGAGTTAGAGGCTAGGTTCGGCCTCAGGACCCCCACCACCTTCTCTGTGTCGCCCGGTGCACGCCACTCCTCAGGAACACCTTCGTCACTGTCATCATCATCACCGCTGTCCTCATCTTCATCACACCGCAGGTCCACGCCTATTTCCCCAACAAGCCCCGCCCCACCTCCAGCCATGAGCCCGACCCGGTCTCAGGCGCCTGCCTCGCCTTGTCGCCCTGCTGCAGCGTCTCGTGCAACGTCTCCTGCTGATGTCCCGGCTTCACCGGAAAGCCCGGCGAGTCCAGACAGCCCCGCCGTCGGCCCGCCCACCAGCCCCAAACCACACATGAACGAGACCAGCTTCTGATTGGCTGTTCTGTCTGAGACTCATGAACCCGACAGTTGATCCTGAGAGCGGATTCATGTTTCCGCGGGTTTGTCCTTAATCAGCGGCTGAATACAGTTCTGTTGCCATAGTTACCAGATGCTGGTTGGTTGTTTCCTGGCGTCCAGCTCACGGGATCACGGCTAGCTACCCAACGTCAGGTGGGAGTAAAAACAGCTGAAAGTCTCGACTGTTGTCCTAAAGACGCACTAATCAATATTTCTACAATATCAATAAAAGAAATGACTCGGTGTCACGTGAACAGGACTGTTCATTAAGCTCCGCCTCCCTCAGTTATTGTCGCTGTCCTGTCAATCTACCTGTTCTCACACGGCATGTGATGGATTTCAGACAGAAGTAAACAAAAGCAGCTTCCAGTAAACAGCGAGCGAGCGAGCTAGCTAGCTAGCTAATTGTGCTAATGTTAGCGCCATGAGTTGGTTGAAAACGTCTCCGGCTGACTCATTTTATGGCTACATACATGATGTCATGCTAACAGACTGAAGCTAAAGCTAACAGCTGACATGAAGAAACACCATGTTCTTGTGTGGCAGCGATAGGTAGTCCTACTGTGCTATATTAGCGTTAGCAGCTACGCTAGCACTTTCCAAACAGTTTTCTCCTCAAATACTTTTCTCTTTTTAAAAGTGAAGCAAACTGTTTGAAGACACATCTGTGTTTGTCTTACCGCAGAGTTTTTAGTGCTAGCATTAGCTTAAAATCCAGTCGTTATGGAAGCCCATTTCTGCCACTGTGATGGGGGGGAGAAAAAAAAAAGTCCTGCAAAATTATTAATTTCCTCAAAATAATGAGTAACATTCTCAAAATATTGAGTTAGTACCTCCATAATATTGGCTTACTATTTAAAAAGTCATTATTTTGAGATATTAACTCATTAGAATAACTAACAGGATCTTTTCATTGGTTTCATCACAGTGGCAGAAATGGGCTTCCGTAAGTCGTCGTCCAGGAAAGAGACTTTTTATAAACTCCTGGGAGGTGAAATCAAGGACGCGTTGTTTTCATAAATTAACGTAGCTTTTTTAAGCAACGGAGGAGAAAAGTTTGTTTATTTTTTGTTTTGCAGGTAAGTTTCTCTAACCGGGACCCTTTTCTATTCAACCGTCTGATCAAGTTTGTATAGAAACTATATTTTTTTGTAAATTCACACTGTGATGAAGGAAAACACGTCGTCTTCAGTTTGTCTTTTCGCCAAGCCTGAACGCCTCACAGTGACAGCCAATCAGCTTTCAGCTCTGCTTTTGCTGCCAAATTAACACCGACAGACGAAAAGATGCTGATGGGAAATTTCAGCAACACTTTTACCTGGAAAGATCTTTTGTTTTGTGGAAACTAATTACAGGAAAAAAAGATTTCTTTGAAAGCTCCGTTTAAACCCCCCCAAAAATATTAATAAAAGATTAATTAATTATTGAAAACATTCTTTATGTTGATGTTATTGTACGTTTACCTGTTACACTCTTTAGGCATTAATTATTTTGGTGTACTACTGTGGTGGAATTTAACAAAGTGTATTTATTCAAGTACTGCAGTCAAGTCAATTTTTCATGTACGTGTACTTTACTTGTCAGAACTTCTACTTCACTACATTTATCTGACATGAATTACTTTTCAGATTCATATTAATAAATAGATTATGATGTAATATTATAGTTAAGAATCCTGCATTATAAGTATTTTTACTTTTTGTACTTTAACTATGTTTTGATTTTAAAACTTTTTCAGTAACATTTTATAAGCAGGACTTTAACTACAGTATTAGAGTAACTAGAGTATTTCTACACTACACTTCCCACAATATCAGTGCTTATCCGGATTAATTTAATTAATTCTATCATTAGAAATTATTCTTATGTTCTGCTGCAAAGTAATGCAAACAACAAATGAGAGATAATTATAAATAATTCTGTCTCCGTCTGTATTGTTTGGTTTTGCATCAAGCGTTCACACTTGTGACAGCGTGATTGGCAGAAACCCTGAATCAGTTCCACATGATGACGTTCTTTCCAGGAGACTTTCAGAGAAATTATTAAAAGGAAAATATGAACCCGTGAAGCAGAGTCGTCCGCCGTCCAAACCTCCTGTGAGTTCCCCGTTTGTAACTTTGACACTTTGGGTTTTTATTTCTCTGGTGTTTCTTTCATCTTTGTGGACTTTTCACTGAAATCACACGTTTTCTTTACACATGTAGCAGCTTTCAGCATTAAGCTTTTAAGTTTGTACCTTTTTGTTCTCCGGTCTGTGATGTGAACGTTCAGAGCCACACAGAAACTCAACTGGACCATTTTATTATAATATATTTTATTTAAGTTTAAAACACAGACGGTATAAAATAACGTGTGGCAAAATATGGTTAAAGAGGTGGCTTTGTGCTTTTTGGCTTTTCCCCTCTCCTTTATTGAGATTATCTTTTTTGTGCATGTAAAGGATTTTGAACCTGAAAATGAGCAGAATACCACCTCTTTAGTGAAAATCTTAGTTTTATTTATACATTATTTAGGTTGTTGACTGTATTACAGATTAGTCTGTTTCTGCAGTGTAAATAGTTTAGTTTATTTTTTGCATTTTAATTAAGTTTGGCTTGCTAACCGGTAATCCTGCGGCTTTACTTCCTTCCTGCTAATAAATTATGATGATGGGTTTGGGTTGGAGGCTCTACACGGCCGCAGCTAGATAAATTTGAATCTCGAGCCTTGAAAATGGCGGCCCATTTACCAATGGGTGACGTCACAGGGGCTACGTCTTTTATTCCGTTTGTGGCTTAAAATCATAAATGCTTTTAAGAGGAAAAAGCAAAATCAGGCTAATAATTGATAAGAGTTCAGTATTAAATGAATAAAAACATTATGAAATTAACATGAGCAAATTGTATAAAAATTAAGATATTAAAACATTTTGAAATTGTTCTTCATAAATGTAATAACTGTCATTGGACTTTTTTTATTTCATTACATATTTTCAACTTTGTTAAGTTCTTTCTAGTTGTGGCTCTTCTTGCTTTTTATTTTAAAAATGTCGTCTTGTAGAATCACGATGAGGATTTTCACTATTTTCGGACATTTTATGGACAAGATGATTAAAAGAAAAAAAATTAATTAGTTATAGTCCAACGTTTTATAAAATCAGAATTCAGTCCTGTAATAGAAAATATTTTGTTTCATTTTGGATTTCCATGTTTCCTACGACCTGTGAATGCAGCATTTGTGGCTCTGAACTGTTCCTGTCTGTCTGTTTTCTGCTGTTTTGAACATTAAACTTTATTAAATCCAGTCACGCTAACGGCTCATAGAGCAACTCTTGTTACGGCTGAACTCAGGTCAGCTCTGAGGAGGTTTTTTAATATTTCTATCTGAAGCTGCTTGATACGTCAGATTGTCTTTGTATTAAAAAATAAATAAAATACTTGACTTGTGAAAATGTGACGGGGGGGAGTCATTTCAAAACAACTGAAGTTAGAAACCTGTTTATTCCAAAATCGTTTAATTAAATCTGCAAATACAAACTAGAGTTCAGACTAATCAGCTGCCAATCAATAATCAGCAGAGTTACAAAAATCGTCTTTGAACAACAAAATAAAAGTCTGTCGTCGTGGCTCAAAGTAAAACACAGATCACACGCTGAGAAAATAGTTCACACAAAAATATCTTGTTTTCTTTTACAAAAATGGATCAGAAATGTAAAATCTGTCCAGTTTCAGATGAGGATGATGAGAGGGTGAGTTTAATCGTATTTTACTGACTGCTCTCTAAAAACCCCGCCCCCCAAACAGTGATTGTCCAAACATTTCTAGCAGCAGGCGCGTCAAGAGTTTGTTTCCCTTGTGTTTTTTTTAATTAACGAACAGAATTGTTTATCTGCCCTAACGTTAGCATATGCGGCTAACTAGCTTACGGCCTACAGTAGTGACCTAGTGTTAATTCCAAAGACAAAGGGGCGTCTCACAGCGAGAGACAAGTTATATTTTGATCCTGAGCCCTGAATCACACACGATGTTTGTTAATTTAAAAGATAATTTTGTCTGTCAGGAAACAGTAAAGTTACATGTCATTTTGTGTGAAAACCGATCCAATGAACTACATGTCTCATCTCACAATTTACGTCACCAACATGTTAACGCGGTAATGCTAAGCTAACGTTCATTGCTTAGTTGCTGCTAGCTAGGTTACTAAGCCATGTTCTTTGACGTTAGCTTCAGTCATTGAGAGAAAAAGTTACATTGGTAATTATGTGTTTTCACAGTCTGATACAACAGTTTTACATTAAACTGCGACTTTACTGACTTTTAAATTGACCGTGTGAAATTCAGAGCACAATTCAAATAGGATCAAAAAATTGTCTCTTGCCGTTAACTACCGTTTTTCTAAAGTAAGGTCCCATGGTGGTCCACCGGTAGGGGAGGGACTTAGGCTCTCTATAGTACTTGGAGCCACTATGGGCGGGGGGGGGCGGTTAGATGCTAGTTTGTCAGAGTTTAGGTTAACGTTAGCACTTTTATTAGGTGACTGTAATCAAACTCAGTTCAAAAATAGCAACATTTAAACATGTAGCATTTCAGATGCGTCCTCAGAGCGATGGCGTACAGTCCGTCATCTGTTGATGGTGACGTGGTCTCAGAGCGATGGCGTACAGTCCGTCATCTGTTGATGGTGACGTGGTCTCAGAGCGATGGCGTACAGTCCATGTCTGTCCTCTCCTACGTGGTCTCAGGGGTTCAGGCCTTGGCGTCCAGCATCTCCAGCAGCAGTTTGTGGAGGGGGACGCAGCGGTGGCGGTGCAGCCACAGGAAGGCCTCCACGGCTCGGTCGGCCGTCTGTCTCAGGAGGGGGAGGCTCATCAGGAGCCGGCCCGCCCGGTGCTGCTCTCTGCGGGTCGACTCGTACTCCTGCAGGGCCTCGTGGAGCCCGTCCTGGAACCTCTGCACCGAGTCAGGACAGTCCACCGGGTCGGCATCTGACGGACGGACAGAGAGAGGACACTCAGTGAGGTAAGTACATTGTTGTGTACAATTTTGAGGTATTAGTACTTTATTTAGTTGCAACACCAAACATTAGGGCTGAAACAATTCATCGATGAATTGAACTCAAATTCTTTGCATTGAGGATTCGTTTAATCCATATAACTATAAAGCGCACTGTTTCACATGGACATTTATTACTGTCGCACATCGTGCTTACGCTGTGAACACGACGATGTTCGACGTTACTCTGTAATGTTACCGTCCATCCACCGTAAAACAAAACTTATGTCGCCTCGGCGACAGCACGACTTCATCTGATCAGAAAGCAGCCGATGTTCTGCCAGCGGACCACAGACAAGGTAACAGCAACTTTGGGTAATCTGCAACTATTTCGAGTTGTAGAATATTTCTTTGTACTTTTTAAGAGACTCGAGGGGAAAGGTAGAGACTCGGGTAGAGATTCAGGAGGGTTGGGTAGAGACTCGGGTAGAGACTCAGGAGGGGACAGGTAGAGATTCAGGAGGGTTGGGTAGAGATTCAGGAGGGGACAGGTAGAGATTCAGGAGGGTTGGGTAGAGATTCAGGAGGGGACAGGTAGAGATTCAGGAGGGGACAGGTAGAGATTCAGGAGGGGACAGGTAGAGATTCAGGAGGGTTGGGTAAAGACTCGGAGGGGACAGGTAGAGATTCAGGAGAGTTGGGTAGAGATTCAGGAGGGGACAGGTAGAGATTCAGGAGGGGACAGGTAGAGATTCAGGAGGGTTGGGTAAAGACTCGGAGGGGACAGGTAGAGATTCAGGAGGGTTGGGTAAAGACTCGGAGGGGACAGGTAGAGATTCAGGAGAGTTGGGTAGATATTCAGGAGGGGACAGGTAGAGATTCAGGAGAGTTGGGTAGATATTCAGGAGGGGACAGGTAGAGATTCAGGAGGGGACAGGTAGAGATTCAGGAGGGGACAGGTAGAGATTCAGGAGGGGACAGGTAGAGATTCAGGAGGGTTGGGTAAAGACTCGGAGGGGACAGGTAGAGATTCAGGAGGGTTGGGTAAAGACTCGGAGGGGACAGGTAGAGATTCAGGAGAGTTGGGTAGATATTCAGGAGGGGACAGGTAGAGACTCAGGAGGGTTGGGTAAAGACTCGGAGGGGACAGGTAGAGATTCAGGAGGGTTGGGTAAAGACTCGGAGGGGACAGGTAGAGATTCAGGAGAGTTGGGTAGATATTCAGGAGGGGACAGGTAGAGACTCAGGAGGGTTGGGTAGAGATTCAGGAGGGGACGGGTAGAGATTCAGGAGGGGACGGGTAGAGATTCAGGAGGGTTGGGTAAAGACTCGGAGGGGACAGGTAGAGATTCAGGAGGGTTGGGTAGAAACTCTGGTAGCGACTCGGAGGGGACGGGTAGAGACAGAGCTACACTTAACGCTATATACTTTACCAGAAAACAATTTCCCATATAAATCTTTAATTCCAACCTAAACCAGACACACAGAAGTAAATAAATAATTTCCCGTCACACCACGAACTGAGAAAAACCAGTGCACGTATAAAATGACCTAATAATTAGAATTAATTATTATTTTATTTGTCATTTTAATAATTGTTCCATGGCAGGTGAATATGTTACTGCTGGACATATTTGAAATGCAAGATAAATTTCGTTTTTAGGTCTTTTTTAAATGTTATTGTTTATATGATACTTTGAGCTTTGGCAACAGAGAAAGAGACGGACAGAAGGAGAGAGACACAAACTGCCACAGAGAGAGGGACACAGTTGAAGGTCAGGCTGTGGCTGCGTCCTCCGGCAGACCGTTGAAACTATAGATCCAGGACAGAGTCATCAACACAGCTTATTGATCCGAGGCTCAGACAGTGGGAGACTGACCACACTTTAGCTGGAAGGACCAGCCAGCGTCCCATCATGCACTGCTTCCACGGGAGCGTTAAATGCAGTCATACACAGCCAGTCTGATGTTATTGATCAACTGCTGTCCCTCCACTGTTAGCATCGTTAGCATCAACAACAACTGACCCCACTAACGTGTTTTAGGGAATTACTGAGCCGTTTCAAACGTGAAACTTCATTTCTGTCAGGAAGCATTGAGACGGACCGACATGTTGTTGGTTAAAGTCAGAACATGAGATTTGTTGAAAATAAAAATATAGAATAACAGAATGAAATCGTAGGACTCAAGAAAACATTTGTGTTTGTGTAACTAATCAATACCGTGATGCTTCAGCTCCCAGCCTCCAATCAATATCAATAACCACTCCTCCCCCCTCTTTTATAATTGTAAATCAATAACAGGGCGGCCAGCTGTCACCCCAGTTCAAAAGAGTGTAATTAGCAACGTGTGCTAACCTGAGTTAGCGAGCGCCATGGCCTTCAGCGTCACGGCCTCCTCGGGGCTCAGGTTCATCGCCTGGTATCTCGCCGTCAGGTGACGCACGGCCTTATAGAGCTCGGCCAGTCCCGCGGCTCGACACTGGGCCTCGTCCAGCCGCAGGTTCCCGGCGAACACGATCTCCTCCGCCGCCGCGCCCTGCGACCGCCAGGCCACGCCCACAAGCAGCGCCTCCATCCAACCGCTCTGCAGCAGTGACATCTGGTCGACCAATGAGAGCCTGGAGAAACCTGAGCGGGGCGGGGAAGAGCCGATTACTGAGTACTAAAATATAATTTGATATATCCGACGTGATCCCTTTTTACTTGTAGTTCTGGGTGAAATTATTAACATAAGTCGCTATAAAGATCTCCTCAAAACCGGACTCCATTGATAAAAACGGTAATTTTCACTAACAGTAAAATTTGCAGAACATGGAAGTTGCTGGTTAGTTTGTGTCATTTTGTGACTTTGGTTTTTTAATTTGTGTGACTTGTGTGTTTTAAAGGGTTAGAAACCCCACAGTTACACAATAACACAAACTAACCGATCAAGGCAGCGCTGGACCACAGAGGTAAAATCACTGTTTTTATCAATGGAGTCTGGTGTCTGACAAGAGCAACATAGCGACTGTTTGAAACGGTCTTATTCTTCACTTGTAATAACAATCTGAGCCTGCCAGTTGTGCCATTAATGAAAGTGCTTGTGATCTTGTGATTACGATAGTAGCAGGTGTTACGGCGTGTTCTGTACGGTGGCCCAGAGGTATCAGGCCAAATACAAAACCCACAACAGTCACAATTCAGACAAATCCGCTGTATATTATTAGATCAGAACAACGTATTACTGATTTATCAAACGGGTAAGAAGGTTCCTCCCCCACCAGGTGACTTGAATATGTACCTGGTATCTGTTTGGCCCAGCTAATCAGAACCAGCAGCTCCCGGTTCAGGAGGTCACACAGGGTCAGCAGGGTCCGCAGGCTGCTGTCATTGGTCGAATCGTCCTGATTGGCGGCCAACGGGGCGGGCTCTGTCAGCAGCAAATGGGAAATCACCTTGTTTCCTAAAAGACAGGTAATAATTAAAGAAACGTCTCCAACATAAACATGAAGTGTGACTGAAATTAAAACCCTGAGTGTGAACGTGTGAACTCACGGCTGCTGACGGCGTGGCTGTACGGGCTTTGGCGTATAAACTCAGTCCCGTCTCCACCCGCCTCTTGTACTTCTGCCGTCCTCCTCTCACTCGGTCCATCCGAACACCTGCAACACAGAGAGGAGCTTTACCTGTCAGGTAACTGTGCGTCGGCCTGCAGCACCTGACCCGGAATGCATCCAGGTCTGAGGTTGGAGAGGAGGAACCACGGGCGTATCCCGACAACAACGGCCCTACAATCTGAATCTGTTCAGTGATTGGTCAGCTGAAAGACACACAAACTGACCACAAATGAAACAGCCGTGTCTTTGTGATCGTTTTGTGTCTGTCGTCGTTTTACATCTTTTTGTAGTTTGTAATTGTTTCGTCTGGAAAAGTTTTGCGTGTCTTGTCCTCTCTTTGCCTTTAAACTTCAACTCTGACTTTCCAATAAGACGTACCAACAGTCTCAGGCTCAACAGTGCTGCACAGACTCTGACAGGCCGGCGTGACGTACCTTCCCTCATCATCCCGGCCTGGAGACATTTCTGGAAGCGGCAGGCCTGACAGGCTTTCCTCCTCCGCTTGGTGATCTCACACTGGTTCATCACCGGGCAGCTGTATTCGATGTTGCCTAGAGAGAGAGAGACTGATAAATAATTGTCCTAATTTTCAAATTATTATTTTGATTGTTTGATATTTATATCTTTTATTTTTGTTTTAAAATTTCACATTTGATACAGATTTTTTATTTATTTATTTTTACTGTTTTCTTTCTTTCTTTTTATTTTTTTAACACAAAGAACTTGTTTTGTTTACTTATCAAATGAAATGTGTGAAATGAATTGAAGTTTATTTGTAGCTTTGAAGAGAGACAGACAGACAACGGAGACATTTTTACATTAAAGCATCAACAACATATCAAACATGTTAAAATACTGTTTTTGTCTGAGTAATAAAAATAAGGGTTTTAAATGCGTGTCCTCTGTTTGATTCCTTGTGTTGTCTTTCCATCTTGTGTATTCTCACAGAAATCTATAGTCTGTCCAGACACCCCCCCCCCCCCCCTCCCCCCACAAGTGTTTATTGGGGCTTAAGCTCCAGAGTCCTGTTAACAGGATATTGACTGATGATACTCACACTGTTGAGCATCGACGCAGTGATCGATGGACCCTGACCCTGATTCACAAAGCCAGTTTCATCATGGAGTCCAACATCAGAGGTTTTAAAATGCCTCAGTTAACTCTTTTCCTCTCCACCTGTGAGGTGGAGCTCCTCACTCCTGGTTTGCTCTTAATCTCACAGGAGAAGAAACGAAGATGAGCATAAGTTCGGTATATTATCGCATACTCAGCAATAAATACGGCCGACTTCTAATTGCACGAATGTTTTCTGAAGTGAAACAGTTTCAAGTTACAGGAGAATTCAAACTATGAAGCTTCAGAGAAACAGTTTTTGAAATAAATAAATAAATTACATTTCAGTATAAGTGGGCAGAGGTGGAAGATGTGTTGGGATATTTTACTCAAGTAAAAGTAATAATGCCACAGTATAAAATACTCCAGTACAAGTAAAAGACCTGCATTCAAAAGTACAAATACTGAAGCATTAAAATTTAACTCCTGCAAAATGTCATCTATTTTGTTTTGTTTAATTTAATTAATTAATTCTTTTTAGTACTTAGCTATTTTTATCATGTAGCACTTTGGGATTTAATTATAAATAAAATATTATTATTTTATTTCCTGTTTATTTTATCTTGTGCAATTTCAAGTTATATTTTATTTGTTGTTTTTTATTTCGGCTTGCCTTTCTTGTCTTCAATATTTCACTCCTGTGTCTCATCTCTCTGTGAAGCACTTTGTTTGATAAGTGCTATACAAATAAAGTTTTTATATATATATATATATATATATATATATATAGTGTAATTTATAAGAATGCATATTTCTTAAACTGATCACAAATGTTTAACATGAAAACTGACTAGTAACTAAAACAGTCAGATAAATGTACTGCAATATTTCTGCAGAGTAGAAGTCAAAAGTAGCCGGAAATGGAAAATACTACAGTATTGTACTTGAGTACAGTACTTGAGTCAATTTTTACTTACTTTCTATAAGGGACAAAAGTGTTTTGGCCACTCTTTGTTTCCATAGATCTGTGAAAACGTGTGCAGATGACTGAACTGATCAGATCAATCACTCGTCTGAGCCTGCGATGCTGCAGGTCTGAATCCCGCAGCTGATGTGTGAGCTCACAGCTTCACACACTAATCAATGCAGCGGGTGTTGAGCTGCATCGACCGGCTCTGCTCATTACGACTCTTACTGATTAACAAACACACCCTGTCGCTCTCACCTTGTATGGTCCTCTTGAAGAAAGCCTTGCAGGCCTCGCAGGACGCCACGCCGTAGTGATACCCGGAGGCGAAGTCGCCGCACACCAGACAGAGCCTCTTTGGCCCCGCGGCGCCCATCGGCGTCAGGAAGTCGCCCCTCAGGATGGAGTCCACCTGCAGAGAGGAAACACTCTGCTGCCACGTCACTGAGTCGACCTCATTAAATGATCTGGATTTCTTTCTGGTCGACAAATCTCTTTAAACGTGTTCACCAGCATTTAAAACTTTATCCACCAAATTAAAAACGTGAGTATAAACTGCTGCTGTGTCTCAGGCAAGGCTGTTGAAAAGTGGTGGGGACACAGGGGCTCAGATCACGAGACACTCACGAGACATCACGATACACAACGTTAGGTTCACGAGAACGAGACCAAAAGATCCTTAACGTGTTTTAAAGACATCCTCAATGCCGAGATATCTGCAAAAAGTCAGCTCTCAAAAACAAGGGGAAAAGCTTTAAAATGGGGGAAATGTTCCTTAAAATAAGCAAAATTATCTGCCAACAGAACAAGAATATTTCACTTGATACTGAAGGACAGAAAACCTTGAAACAGGTGAAATTCTTAAGAAATATCTTGTTAGACAAAAAACAAGTTTATTTTGCCTTCAATTAAGATAATTAATCTAGTTTTTGCAGTGTAAACACTTCATTTCCTGCATTGTGGTGGAAATGAGAGGCAGCACACATGCAGGCATGATTTAGTTCACAGGGAGAGAAGTTGTTAAAGTTCCTGACTGCTGCTGCACGTTTTTGGGTCATTTTATAATCAGCAGCTTGTTTTTATTTTTAGCTGAAGTTACTTTTTTTGGACAACACACTTTTGTTTCTTCTAAATTTTAATTGTGCAAATAAACCTTTCATTTGTTATTTAACTACAAGCTGTATTTCAGAACGTTTTTAACAAGTTATGTTCCCAGACGGTGCACTCATAACGGTGGAAAAGTTGAGTTTGGGACGCCGGACACTTCTCCCGCTCAACAGTCGCCATCTTGGCTACGTAGCAGAAGAGGAGGGACCACCAACGTGTTTTCAAACTTGCAGAGAAGGAACATTTTTAATAAAACTCAAGTGCACAAAGAAGCCGGCAGATGTGTCGGGGCGATAATCGCGATCAGTCGGCGGCTAGAATGATCCGCGTACTGCATGTTCGTCTGCTAACCGAAGTATCCGAACTGACACACAGCTTTGTCGACCCGTTAGCAGCCTGAGCTTCTTTCTCTCTTCAGCGACTCTTTAATGAATGAAATGTCAGAGAAAAGAGGAAGAAGCTAAGAGCGCTAGCATGTTGCCAGCTGACCCCGTCAGTCGCTACGCGCTTTATAACTTCCTGTCTTCTCTGAAGACATTTACATTTATTCATTTAGCTGACGCTTTTATCCAAAGCGACTTACAACTGCTGTACATGTCAGAGGTCGCACGCCTCTGGAGCAGCGAGGGGTTAAGTGGCTTGCTCAGGGACACAATGGTCGCAGTGGGGGATTGAACCCGGGTCTCTCACACTAAAGGCACGTGTCTGATCCACTGCACCATCGCCACCCCCTGAAGACACCTCACAGTAGTTCTATCTGGTTTCACTTTTAAAATGTGACTCGATCAGGAGGAAACGTGCATTTGTTGGGGACTATTTTCAGCGGCGGATGAATCCAAACAGTAAAATTCTTCACCTGTGCTGAAAACGAACCCGTCTGTGACAACGAGAAACGCACGGCAGCCTCGGACACCACGGCGCTGCCTCCGACGCTTCCTCCGCTGGAACTAGATCCTGTCGGGGAGTCGGGCTCCGGCGCTCCACAGAGGAGGCTGTAGGAGGAAGAGGAGGAGGAGGAGGAGTGGGCCGGGCTGGGGAGGAGGAAGGCCGGGTGTGACGGGCTGAGAGCGGGCGTGGCGTCCAGGGGGAAGGCGGGACTGAGGGGGGAGGAGTGGAGGAAGGAGGCCGGAGACTGAGCTTCATCAGCTGGAGAGGAGGAGGAGGAGGAGGAGGAGGAGTCCAAGAGGCTGAGGAGGAAGAAAAGTGTGAGATTAAACAGCTGAAGATCAGACACTGAAACAAATCTGGGATTTTCAGAATAAAACCAGGATTTCTTTCCTTTAAGAAACACTTCCTGTTCACACTCGTCACGTGACATCATTTCACCTCGTTTACAGAACAAAGGGTTTGTTGTCTCTACTTCAAACTCTACTCAGTAAATATTTGATCTTGATCCTGAGTCTTTACATTAAAGCTAGTTTGTGGGGTTTTTTGACCACTAGTTGGCGCTGTGGAGAAACGTTTTCATGCATGGACGTATTAGACGCGGTGCTAACGTGCTAATCAACAAGTCCTTTTCTCCAGAACAAAACATTTAAGATTTATAATCTAACGCCTCGTTCAGCAGGACGACATCATCGGGATATTCTCCCCAAAAACCAGTGCTACCAGTCACTGCTGGGAAACAAACCAGTTTTATCAGTTCCTGCAGGACGTCACGACTATTAACACGGATTCAACAAATCCCCGTGAGTCAGCTCGACTTCGACCAATCACCGCAACTTTTCCACAAATCTGACCTCCTGCTAAACGTTGTCACACGTCAGCAAACTCACTTCCTCGTTCAGAAGACACCAGCAGACGCGTGCGACGCCAACGTCTCACGTTTATGTACAACAATAACAGCAAAGGGCACCGTGAAGACCAGGATCCAGATCTTCGTCACCAAAGCGGGGAAACTGTTCTGCAGAGCGTGCAGCGTCGTGGTCGAACATAAAGGAGATCGTCTCCTGACAAACGCTTTGAGAGAGAACGTCAGAAACTCACGGAGGACGTCAGACGAGACGCTGAGACGCTGCAGGACAGAATCAAGGTCAGCTGGTTTAAATACGCAGGGTCAGGGTCCAGTGTTGGAATATTTTGAGAAAGCTTTTTTTAATGTCTCAGTTATTATTATTCAACTATTATTCTAAATATAAAAGTCTTTGCAGTTTTCACTTATTCCCACAATTTCATCGCAATATTTTAGAAAAGCTGCCGCAAAACCCGCGAAATCCTGCAGGGACGGTTTGTTTTATGAACACGGTGGAGAAGGTTTGGGTTAAAATGACAGGGTTGGTCAGTGGTGGACAGTAACTAAGTACATTTAGTATTGTACTTAAGTATAGTACAAATACTATAATAATTTGTTCTTCTGCTCCGTCTCAGAGGGAGATGTTGTACTTTATACTTCACCACATTTATCTGACAGCTTCAGTTACTTTACGAAGTCAGATTTTTACACAGAGTTTATAAAATGTAAAGTTTTGTTTAAACTCCCCAACAGTTTATAGGAGTACAGCTGAAACACTTTGTTGATTGACAGAAATTTAATTGTCAACTGTTTTTTTTTTTAAATGACAAACCACACTAAAAAGATTTTTTACTTTTTAAAAGCAGGTACTTTTGCACTTTGACTCAAGTAAATTAATTGAAGACTCTTAGTTGGGTCAAACAGGAAGTGAGCGGATTTGAACTCTGATGTCTTGTTGACCCGTCCTCCTCGGCGCTCTGTGAAATACCTGACGCTGCCTCGCCAGGAATCGTAGCGATGTGCCGACAAAGGCAGTGAAGAAAAAGAGCAAGTAATTCCGCGTGTTCGTTAGACCTCGCAGATGCTCATAACGCCTTCTAGTGAGAAACACTGAAAGTTAAACTTTTTGTTTGTCTACGTTGGTGTTTTCTTTTAGCATTTCACAACTTTTCCAGTCTTTTGTTGCCAGTGTCACAACTGTTTTTGAAATTTGTTGCTGGCATCAATTTGAAAATTGGCATATCTTCCAAAAACATAAAATTGTCTTCAGTTTCTTGAGTTTTCTTTGTGCTTTTTGCTATTAAATGTGGGGTTTCACTGTTTTGCACACCTTCACATTTTGTTTCTATTTACATTTTAAACAGCGTGACACGGTTTTTGGAAACGTACTGTAGAAGCACAGATTTCTGTCTGTGGGTAGATTTCAGTGGAAAAACCTGTTTCGCCTGCTAAAACTGCTCCTACTATTAAAACTAGTAGTGAACGTGCTGCTGTGAATTTACACGTTTACACGACAGCCCCCGGGGCGTTGCTTTGCTTTGTGTTGGAAAGTGGTGGGGACGATATTGGGGTCACGTGAACAAGACCAGAAGACATTTAACGTTGTTTTAATTAAATCTTCAGTGCTGAAATATGTGAGTGGGGGGGGGTTCTGGGGTTGTTTTTGACCATTAAACAGTTAATTTCCTGCATTCTGGAGACATTTTCTGCACCAATTTATGGCGGAAATGTCTTTAGTTTTAGAAAGAAACACAAAATTCAGGTGACAATTCAAAAAAAAAAAAAGGATTTTTTTTAAGGAGGGTTACTTATTTGGTCAATGCACATTTGTTTCTTCTATATTTACTTTGCATTGCATGTTTTGTTATTGTGCAAATAAACCTTTCTCTAAGCTTTTTCAGTTGTAAGTTAACATTTATTGTTGTTATTTTCAGAACAATGTTTTAAAAAAGGGGACACCTCTGCACAGCGTATTACCTCAGACGTGAACGTGGAGTGAGCCATGTTTGTGTCTAATGTTTCAAGACATCAGTGAATTTAATGATTTATAGTTCAGACTTTATAGTTCACCTGTGTTGTTGTTGTTGTTGTTTAAAGCTGGTATTAAAGTTATTTTCCTGGGAAGTTTTATTCACATCTTAGATAATGATCCTTTAAATGACCAAAATAGTTGCTTCTATTAAAAAACCAAATCAACAGCTGACATATCTGTTTTATTTAAACTCCTAAATATTGCTATAAGCATCACCCTCAGACTTCCAGCATCGTATAAAAAGTACTACTTATCTACACCTTGTAGCAGTAAAAGTACTCCTGGTGCTGCTGTTACAGTGGCAGAAGTTATGTTTCTCTTTCTAACTTTATCTAAAAGTGCTTTGAAGTGTTTGAAACAAGTTGAACATCACAGAAGAAATACTTGAAATAAATAATGAGCGAGCTGTTTCTCACCGCTGTGGACTGATGAAGGGATAGCGGTCTGTCAGACAGAAGTCCTTCAGCTCCATCCTGAACCTGATCCCAGATCAGTTCCAACAGCCTGAACCGCAAACGTCAGACCTGCAGCTTCACCGCCCCCCAAATCCACCTAAAAAAAGTGCAAAAACACCTGCTTCTGTCCTCCGTGGTGCGTTCACACGCTCAGCTTTCAGCCAGTGAAAAAGGCTTTCTGATGGTACCTTTAAGGACCAACACCAACGCAGGAAATAATGAACTCCGGTTTCCTGCAGAGAGGAGGGAGAGACGAACAGATGACTGTGGAAACCTCGTACAGACAGACATCTGGTACTCGGAGGTGTCCGCAGTGTTATTTATGTGTCTCTCCTGTCATCCCACAGGAGGCGAGGCATGGGGGAGGGGCCTGGAGGATCAGCCAATCAGTGCGCAGCATCATCCGTCTGTACAGGGGATTGACGACTTCTTCTTCTGTCATCTCTATTGATTTGGACAGTGACAGATGTAGGCCACGGCAGCCTGAAGCGCCGCTCTGCTGAGGTCAACCAAAGCATTTTACATCAATAAACACAAAACAAGACAGTTCAAAGTGACTGACAGCCTCCTTATTATGATAATAAAGCAGAACTCCAGCCTAAAACTGATCTTCTAGCAGAAAATGAATGATTCATAACTTCATCTAAGTGTTTTGAAGTGTTTGATGCAAGTTGAACAGAATAACACAAAGGCCCTCTGTGTTGTCTCTGGGGAACTTTTAACCACTTCACTACACTTGTGTACACTTCACTACATTCAAATAAAAAGGGGTTTAGTATTTATCTCCCAGATACAGCATCTCACGAAGTGAGTCCACCCCTCACATGTTTGTAAATATCGGATTCTATCTTTTCATGTGACGACACTGAAGAAAGACACTTTGCTCCAGTGTAAAGTAGTGAGCGTGCAGCTTGTAGAACAGTGTAAAGTAGTGAGCGTGCAGCTTGTATAACAGTGTAAAGTAGTGAGCGTGCAGCTTGTATAACAGTGTAAAGTAGTGAGCGTGCAGCTTGTATAACAGTGTAAAGTAGCGAGCGTGCAGCCTGTGTAACAGTGTAAAGTAGCGAGCGTGCAGCTTGTATAACCGTGTAAAGTAGCGAGCGTGCAGCTTGTAGAACCGTGTAAAGTAGCGAGCGTGCAGCTTGTATAACAGTGTAAAGTAGTGAGCGTGCAGCTTGTAGAACAGTGTAAAGTAGTGAGCGTGCAGCTTGTATAACAGTGTAAAGTAGTGAGCGTGCAGCTTGTAGAACAGTGTAAAGTAGCGAGCGTCCAGCTTGTATAACCGTGTAAAGTAGCGAGCGTGCAGCCTGTGTAACAGTGTAAAGTAGTGAGCGTGCAGCTTGTGTAACCGTGTAAAGTAGCGAGCGTGCAGCCTGTGTAACAGTGTAAAGTAGTGAGCGTGCAGCCTGTGTAACAGTGTAAAGTAGCGAGCGTGCAGCTTGTAGAACAGTGTAAAGTAGCGAGCGTCCAGCTTGTATAACCGTGTAAAGTAGCGAGCGTGCAGCTTGTAGAACCGTGTAAAGTAGCGAGCGTGCAGCTTGTAGAACCGTGTAAAGTAGCGAGCGTGCAGCTTGTAGAACAGTGTAAAGTAGCGAGCGTGCAGCCTGTGTAACAGTGTAAAGTAGCGAGCGTCCAGCTTGTATAACCGTGTAAAGTAGCGAGCGTGCAGCTTGTATAACGTGTAAAGTAGCGAGCGTGCAGCTTGTAGAACAGCGTAAAGTAGTGAGCGTACAGCTTGTATAACAGTGTAAAGTAGTGAGCGTGCAGCTTGTAGAACAGTGTAAAGTAGTGAGCGTACAGCTTGTATAACAGTGTAAAGTAGTGAGCGTACAGCTTGTATCTTGTATAACAGTGTAAAGTAGTGAGCG